GTCGACCACAAACGAACAAATATTGGTTTGTGTTGTTCGTGCTCGGCTCGTTAACTTAGCGAACGAGCCGAACACGAGCTGTTCGTGAACAACGAGCCGTTTTGACAGCCCTAAGTAGGAGCAATGACATGTCCTGTGATGTGGGATGAATCAACTGAGGAGACGAAAATCAAGGATGTTGATGGTGAGCTAAGGACGTATGCGCGGAGGAAGAAGCAAACTAAGGTAACAGAGTTTGCAGTGCCAACAAGTCCCTTGTCCCGATCTTCCCAAACTTTAGAGACATGTACACCATCCACCTTTGATTCAAATCTCTCAGGTGATATTGCTCCTCTTTCGTCTAATCCTAACCCCCCTACATTAAGGACTTCCCGCAGCAATTCGAGCATCTTCCTGATCATTTTGGGTGGGAACTTAACATTGCTAACGTTGTTTCTTATTATAACATGTCACCTTTACATGGATTTACATGGATCATTCATTGCATTATTGGACTCTGTCTCTATGCCCAAATGTTGACAGGTTGTTAAGGAGGATCCCAAGCGGAAAGCGACGATGCATGAAAATCTTATGGCTCTTGATAAAATTGAATATGGTAGATTGTGCCACTACCAGCGGGGAAGAAAGCAGTTCGGGTGCAAGTTGATCTTCACGGTGAAGCAAACTCTAGAAGGGAAGGTGGAGAGGTACAAAGCACGAGTGGTGGCAAAAGTGTACAGTCAGACGTGTGACATTCACTATGACGAAACCTTTGCACCAGTAGCAAATATGAGCACAGTGAGGACATTAGTTATGATCTAAAGTTTCAACCTTTAAGATCCAAAGTATATGAAGTTTACAAAGTAATAAAAAGAACAACTTGTTTTCTAAAAGTCTAATATAGTACCCTAATAATATCAAATGCTAATTTTGAATCTATAACAATCATTATCCACTGCTTTTATTAGCATCCATGTCCAAGTTGTTCTTACTGAGCTCCTCCATTTCCAACTCCTTCCACTCTATAAGAAAACATAACTGGAGGAAGAAATATTGTCATGTCAGAAAAAGTAAGTAGTTAATCTTATTGGCATCTTAGTTTATGTAAATGCTGCCAAACCTGAGCATAACTTTATCTATAATACCATGCTTCATAGCATTTTTGCGACAACTGAGGTGGATCAAAAGTGCACGAGCCATAGAATAACTTCTCGAAAGTTTGATCCATTGAAATCAATTTACCTATCTGATTTAGTGTTAAATTATCAACTCTTAAAAACTAATATTTTAGCATCCATAAAGATGATACCGGATTGAGTACTAACAATGTAAAGATTATTTAAGCAGAAGCATGCTGTCAATCTTCATTAAATCCAGTGAGCATCTAGAATTTTCAAATCTTTTAGATGCTTAGCCATGTTTAGATGTGAATGATAATGAAATTATTTGAAACTGTATACTCAGAATAAATCTTAAAAAATGAGAACAACATGCTTTCACCATTGCACTTTCATATATGTTGGTTTCACTATAAAATTCCTTAAGAAAGCACTCAATATAATTTAAGTCATACTGTAAATGTAAAATGATAGCCATGGTTAGCATCTTTGCTGAAATAAAACTAATAGTTTCTAAAGTTCGACAAAATTTATAAACCATACCTCTACATTTCAAATTTCAATGTTCCTGCATATGTAATGGAGACACTAAGGGGCTATTTCGGACCACTTTCTATCTTTATTATTTTATTTTATTTATATTTTAAGATGAAATAAAAATATATTTGGTAACTGAAATATGTTTTATTTTTATTTTATTGATTCTTTCAATAGTGAATTACACGGCCAGCCGGCGGTTGTGGTTGGATTGGATATTTTGATTTGAAAATAATGAAACCCCTTGTGAACAAGTGAGGGTTTTTTGAGCTTTTCTAAAAATAAACTTGATTTATATTCAAAAATAAAACATCTAGACTTTCCTTCTTACATATTGCGTGAAGCTATTGCCAATGCAGCCTCTGTATAGGTGTAAATGTATGCAATCGTAACCCTATATTGGGCTTGCCACCCTCTCTACCATAATCCTCATCAAGTTATACAAAATTCATACCACCATCTTCCTTGTCAATAATGGTTGGATTCTTAAGTGGCGAAGGGATCTCTCAGAATCTTTGCTAACAAATATAATTGCTTTCTAGTGTAGTTGTATGAGGTTAAATCGAAAATTGGCACACCTTCACCTGTCTATAGACCCAATGAAAATCCAAGAATGGAATAACTAGATTACCTTAATGTCGAATCCTAAGTGTGATGAGGTAAACTATATGTGCTCATGCAAAAATAAAAACCAATTGTATAGACCCAGAGCTTTCTTCAAGAATCAAAAGGTTTTTGGTCATTGTTATCTTTGGAATGGATATAAATCCGATTGGAAATTATGCGCTAGCCCATTACAAAACCCAACTCGGCCCAAAATTTATCTAAGTTCAACCAAAAGTTGATTTTATTGCTAGTTTGTCCAGGTTGTTCTGGTAGATATATATTAGCATTCCTACTTTACAGCATAATTATTTTCTTTTTTATTTTTATTTATTTATTTTTATTTTTTTATTTTTGCTTCCAAGATGCTTGATGGATTTATGTAAGGTGAAACTTGAATATCATGAACTTTGGTACCTTGCTATTAAAACCCACTTGCACAGTATAGCAGGGCATTGAAAAATCGGAATTAACCATAATGGCCATCATCAATTGAACTTTTTCTAAGATTACTCTCACTGTAGTTGAAGGATCTGGGCTTCAGTTTGTTTTTTTTTATTGAAAGGGTCCGGATTTTCCCTGTTTTGTGCCAGACACAGTCTGGCTTAGAGACATTAATAGATTCCCCTATTTGCACCATGACTGTGCTTTAGAGGTTTTGTACTATGTCAACTAAGCTCTCATGGCTGCAGACGTTCAATGAACTTCAAAAATTGTTGAGTAAAACAAATGGAAAGATAGTTAGTGAGGTTATGACACCCGCACCTCTTGTGGTTCATGAAACAACTAACCTTGAAGATGCCGCAAGGTTTTCTACTAATCTTACAGCTTGCCCAGCCTTGCATTAATTTTTAAACATTTTCTTAACAATGTAAATTTATTTTTTGCAGATTACTGCTTGAAACCAAGTTCCGCCGGCTTCCGGTAGTTGATGATTCTGGCAAATTGGTATGTGAGTCTTCATTCCTGCCCCAGTTCATTAAATTTTCCTTGAATAATTATGTCCTCATTTGCTTTCTTCTTGAAGATTGGAATGATCACAAGGGGAAATGTCGTTAGAGCAGCGTTAATGATGAAGCATGCGAATGAAAAGAGTGCTTAAGAGATGCTATTTGTTTCGCCTCATACATTAGTCAACTATTATCAATCTCCATATATCAATTATTCAAATGGTTGGTACAAGCATCTTTATGGCAATGAAATTTCATCATTCCTCTTATTAATATGAGGAATAACTGCTCATTCTGCACAAGATATTTTTATCACTGTTATAGCAATCTTTTTTAAGAGCCTCTTAGAAAAGAATTCATGTTTTAAGAGCTTAGATTTGATATATGTACTCACAACTAAATCTTGTCCATTTGTCCTTCGGTTAATCTAATCATTTATGGAATCAGCGAGCAATGCTGCTCCATCTTGTACTACTTTTGAAGTTTACTTATTGCTTAGTTCTGCTTTACTTGGTTGATAGGAATTAGTCCTGTTGCAAACTTGCTATCCTGCGCCGGCTTCTAGCACTTGGAGATTGGTGTTGATAATACTCGTTATGCTTGCGAACAAGCATAATGTATTTTGTAAACCAAGTCATCCATCATTTGTTCTCATTCTTGTTTGAAGATTTTCCCGCTCTCTTTCTATTGATTTTATTATATTATATTTAATAACACATTTTTCTATTTTACTTTCATTTACTCCCTGCCGTCTCTTCTCCTAACAATCTGTTTCTTATGTTTATAATGTTTATATTTTTATTGCATGGCTGGCAATTATTTTACGAAAAGCTTGTTACTAAACATTTGTAATTAGACTCGGCAAAAAATGCCAGTGTACGCCATGAAAACTAGTCCTGTGCAAAATTTATTTTTCAAACTCGTTCTTATGAGTAGCATATAACATCAGCACTAGTAGTCTAGTACTTAAGGCTGATATGATAGACTCCTAGTTGACATTATTTAAGCTCTTCCTTGCCCTTGTTTCGAAGTGAAGTTTTAAGGGGGGAGGGGGAGGGAGAGGGAGAGAAATCAACTCAGGTGTTATTACTTAAAGAAAAATGAAATTGAAGGTTTTTACTTGGTGCTTCTTACCAGTTCATATCAGTGAACTGTTGATGCTCTTTTATTGACTCTCTGGAGTCTTTACTGAAACTAATAAGATGGTGGTGAGAGCTGCAATGTTCCATGTTGCAGAATGTTGGCCTTTAAAGTAAAAGCATAAAACAAAGTTAAGTGTTGTTGAGATGAGAATGTTTTGGTGGATGAGTGGCTTGACACCTGGAGATAAAATGCAAAATGAATATATTCGTGATAGTATTAGTGTAGTCGTGGACAAGATTAGAGATAGTTATTTTAGATGTTTTGGTCACATTGAACGTCGATCATCGGATGTTCCAGTTAGGAGAGCAGATATTTTAGATTCGGCTTATCTTAAGAAAGACTGAGGAGGCTTGGGCATATTGTGTTAAAAATGATCTTATTTTTTTAGAATTAAATGAAAATATAACACTCAATAGGATAATGGAGAAAAAGGATTCATGTAGCCAACCCCACATAGTGGGATAAAGGCTTGTTGTTGTGGAGTCTTTACTGATTAATGGTGTTAATTTTTAGTACTGAAAGAGATGGGACTGCGAAGGACATGTCTAAAAGCTCCAAAATGAACTCTTTCTTAGACAATGTTTGTATCTTGATTCTGCAACGCATAGTATATGGACAAAGAGCAATAGACATGGAAATATCGGTAATGGAAATGAAATTAACGTGGTAGCAGCGGCAAGAAAAAAATGAAAAATACAAAACAATTCCCTTTGGAGTCAACTGACGTATGTTCTGGGACAAACAACTGATGGTACATAATGGAAAATCAATGGCATATATAAATAAATGTGCACCTCAGATTCATGCTCCTGTCTCAAGATTCAGAACCAAACAACTGAATCATCTTCAAGATTTAGACCATCAGATTAAATTAGATTTTCTACTAGTCGAGCTTGTGGTTCTATCAAGTTTAAGTGGCACTTGAGAAGCAAGTAAGCCACAGAATCAATCTCATTCAATCAAAATTTTAGAGGCTGTTTGGGACTACTTTTGATTATTATTTTTTATTATTTTGTTCATGTTTTTCCATAAATAATATATATATATATATATATAGGGTATTTTATAATATGTTTTGTTGTTTAAAAAAAAATACATTCAAAATAATTTTTAAATATTTTGAATGTTTTTAAAGTTAATTTATTTTTGAAAATAAAAAGCAAAAATTCAAAAAATAAACTAAATAAATATATTTAAAAATAAATAAATAAATAAGTGTGATACCAAATAAGCCCTTAGTTAACCATACCAGTGTACGCTCATTTTTTCGCTGAGCAGGCTCATTGTGCTCCGTAGTTGCTTGAAGATATGATGAGAAGTGGGGAGTCTCTCTAATATCTGGGTTTCGAGACCTCAACCTACACAATAAATAAATAATAATAATAATAAAAGACTTTCAAAAAAAAAAAAAAAAAAAAAAAAAAAAACACTTCCATCAATCTCAAATAAACTTGATGTAGGACCTGAATGCGGGGCCTTTTTAAAGTAAAGGCAGCGGCATCTCTATATAATAGTATTAAATGGCATCTGGAGGCTCATCATTGGCAAGGGAAAGTATTATTATTTCATTTTGTCGACAATCTTAGCTTTTGAAAATGAACTCTTTGTTTCGAGGTTTGCATGGGCTGTTTTGAAAATTCTTGTTAAAGCTTTTTTTGTACTTATTATTGAATCTCCAAAGTAATTTTGCTATACTTGAATATAAAAAAAAAAGATGATATTGTACTTCAATAAATATAATTTTCATCATTAATAGTACATAAAATAATCACAAATTATTATTCGTATAATTTTATCGTCCTCGATAAGAAAAGATTATGTTTTAATGGTTCACTAGCTTTACAAGCCCTAGTTGCAATTCTACCAAGTGACTTGCATCACACATCAATGAAATTACCGATACTTTAATCAGTATTGTCTCTTATTAATGAATTGATCTCAAATCGTTTAAGGTTTCACTTCGGTTCAATTCCAGGAGAATAGCATTTAGGAATGTTTAGATATTTAATAAATATTGTGAACTCTGTTCTAGTTAACTTTGGGGAGATAAATCTATCATATAATTTGATATGTTAGCTGTTAAATCTAACATCTTGTTAAATCGTTTGATTCAAACTTAACATTTAAAATAATATGAGTTAATAAAGTAATTTAAATAATGCTATAAAAAGTAATACAACAACAAGAAGACAAAGTCTTTATCCCACTAAGTGGAGTTGGGTACATGAATTCTTTTCTCCATTGTACCCTATTATGTGATGCAATTAAAAAATAATGGATTAAACAAGTCCAAAAGTAGAATTGTTAGTCAATAACCCTAAATAGATTTTATAAGAGTATTTATGAAGTTCATTGTGAGAAGTAATAGCTCAATTCCTTAAGAGAATATCATAGAGGAACTAATAAAAGGAGGCCATTTTGAGCACAATTATAGGGTTAAATCAGTATATAAGGAAATAACAAGAGCATAAACCGAAGATAAGAGTTGACAAGTGCTTGTGTATAACACATGATGAAGAAAATATAACGAGAAGATGCTAAATGAGGAGAAGATGTGATGTACTAAGCAATCTTTAACTCCCTTGATCTAACTCCCTTCAAAATTACCAAATTCAGGATTTAGATCAAAACGGAGGGAAACATAACTTAACTTTGTAATAGATTTATTTACCTTAAAATTTCTTATAAGATTTAGCCTTAATTTTGGTTGATCATGATTAAATCTTGTAACCTAATGCCCTTTATGATGTGTTGGATACCAGAAATTTGAGTGAAAGGAATGAAAAAAAAAAAAATAGAAGGTTAGATATTTTTAAATTATTTATTATAAATTTATAACTAGCTCATAAATTACTAAAAGTTAATATTTTTCCACACTTTACTTTAATAAACAAAACTTAATGTTCAGTTGAAGGTGTATAAATCTTGAAGTTGAAGGTGTATAAATTGCTGAAATATTATGTTGATCAAATTTAATTATTTCAGCATTTTAATTAAATTTGTAAAAAAATCATTTTTCTTATTTAAGAGAATAATCTGAGTAAATTTTGATTTTATTTAAAACAAGTGTTGTTAAGCTTTTTTTCCCTCTCTCTCTCTCTCTCTCTTATCTGGGATGATTGGGAAGTGGAGTGTATTTTTAATGTGATATTTGGTATTTAGTGGGGTTCTTTATAACATAATTTTGTGTTTCCTATATCGGAAGATTTACATGCATACCACTCATTGCTTATGTATTTACGTATCTAACACCTAAACTTCAATTTCTACATATATGATGCCATGCATTTTGCTTTTTTAAAAGTTGAAAAGGTCGTATTTTTGATGTGATATGTAAGATTTGAGTGGTATAAATCTAAAAAGTAAAGTTAAGGTATTAGACATGTAAATACAAAAGAATTGAGTGATATGTATATAATTCTTCCAAAGAAATATTATTACAACTTACAAAGCAGCAGCAAAACTAAGTTTTAGAAGTATTCTAAAGCATCTTTTTGGGGTTTGTATATGAAAATGATGTACTCCTTTAGTTTGTTTGTACCCATTTCAGTGAGAATGTTCTCACTTCTCAATTTTGCATTTCACAATGTTGTTTCTGGGATAATATGAACTATATTAAATTTACTGTAGATGACCATAAAAGCATATGAACCATAAGGGATAACATAAATCTAAAACAGCAGGTATGCAAATGCTTAATTTAATCCAATATTTCTAGAAAATTCTTACTTTGTTAGATAACTTTCAAAACAGCAAATATGGGGAGTAAGGAACAACATAACTCCAAAAATAGTAGATATGCAAATGCTGAATTTAATCTGATACTTTCAGAAAATCTATATTTGTTAAAATAATCTTCAAAGCAGCAAATATGGGAACCTAGCTGCTTGGAATCATGCTAAAAACTGAAGTTTATCAAGTAATACCAGAGGCTCAGAAATGAAAACAAAAGCCTTATTAAAAAAACAAACCTGTCACAAACATTGTCCCTGAGCTCATATGAACTATATTAAATTTTATGTAAATGATCATAAAAGCACATAGGGAGTAAAGAACACCAATACTCCAATACAACGGTTATGCAGATGCTGAATTTGATCCAACACTCCCAATAATTTTATAAGAAAAAAATAGCATGTATGCAAATGTTAAGCTTCGATAAAATTAATATTTTGTTAAAATGAATTTCCAATGCTGTGATAGAAACTCGGCTGCTTACGACAATACCGAAAACCGAAGCTTATCGGTTAGCACCAAAGCCTCATAAATGAAAATAAAAGCATTATTATGAAGAACAACA